TGTATACCTTCCAGAAAGGATGCGATTTTGCCTCTATATTCAACAAATTACCATTCCAATGAACTTTTGGTTGTTCATGGATTATATACACAGCACTATACAAATGATTGCTGTGTCTCAAACATGCCTCCTTTGACCTTGGGGCTCATTACTCAACATCTCTGGAACCCCTTCTGCTGGAGTCATCTTTGAACTTAAAAGCCACAGTGGAAAACAAGTCTCTGATTTGTAGCTTTTTTTTTTCTTTTTCTTTTTTTGTGGTACACGGGCCTCTCTCTGCTATGGCCTCTCCCACTGCGGAGCACAGGCTCTGGACGTGCAGGCTCAGCGGCCATGGCTCATGGGCTCAGCCACTCTGCGGCATGTGGGATCCTCCCGCCTGCATCGGCAGGCAGACTCTCAACCACTGCGCCACCAGGGAAGCCCTGTAGCTTCTTTTTATTTTCAACCCTAAGCATGCTTTCAAGTTGGGTCATTGACCCTGTTCACCAGATTGAGACTCTGGCACAAGGTAAATCCATTCTCCATAGGTCAAGTTGTGATCTCTAAGAACGGTCAGAACTTTGGCCACAGTCATACCATAAACTTGCTGTGACAGTCTCCTATTCATAGCAGTGAGCCTTACTGCCTGCCCTCTCCCAAGGACGGGGAGACTCCATGGCACAGATTTTTGGCTGGTCGAGGCTCCGCTCGGATTGACCATGAGAAAATAAGGCTCAGGGCTCTTAGGGACACTTCCCCCCCTTCAGGTATTGCAAGCCCTACTCCATCCCTTTGAATCTTTTGACTGTGTGGGATGTACACATAAGTACCCCTCTGGGAATGTGGTCATTTCAAATTTCTTTCCATAATCTGCACGAGCAGAGCGCTTCCCTGGACTCCTGCTACAGCACTCACGGGAAGCATGCAGCGCCACTCTTACAGGAAGGGGATTGTCAAGATCTTGGCGTTCTTCTCTAGAGTGATCTGCTCCATAGCAAAGAAGGTGATCTCTGGCTAAGCCTGTGATTAAATAAGACAGACTTCACAAAGAAGGGAGGGCAAAGAAGGAAGACATTTATTCTTGTCTCCTACGGGCCTATCAAACTGCGTCCATCAGTGCCTCATGAAGGAAATCTTGGATAGCTTCTGCCCTAAGTGCAAACCCTCTCCAGTCTCTGTTAGTCCCATTTGTGTAATTACAACATCCAACCCAATAATCAAACTCGGAATTTCACTGCAGGGTAAAGCCTCTCCTTCCCCTGGCTGGTGCCTGCTTCCGCCGAAGGACCAGCAGTGTGCACAGGGCTTTTTCCATCTCTCCCCACCCCGCCCTTCGCCACCTCCTCCCCCCATCACTCGCCTTGGTTGTGACTCCTCGTGGGTTGGAGGAAAAGAGGAAAAACCATTGAAGACAAGTCAGGTGTAATCTGGCTTTGGGGGATGGAGGCACACTTCGTGGCTCTTTTCCTCATGGGGCCCCATTAATGACTCCTCCCAGAGTCTCCCTGGAAATCTGCAATTACAAGTCCGACTGATGGCCACTATCTCCCCCCAGCTGGTCACTTGGACTCCAGTTCCAGGCACAGTTGCGATCCCTGGTGGACTTCCGGGCAAGTCCCCTTCAAGCTGCCTTTGGCTGGCTCCCTCCTGTGTGGCCCACATTTGACTTATGGGGAGCACATACTTTTGCCCCCCAGTCAGTGAAAGTTATGGTTGCTTCCAATCAGCCTCTTCAGTCTTTACCCTCTGGTACATAGTAAAGTCCTCTTGTATTCTATTTCCCACAGGAGCACCCAGCTCCAAAGATAAACTCCAGAGGACACAGGTCATGTCCTCCCAGGAATCTCTTGCCATACACCACTCATGTCCTCTGACAGCACCAAAGCCCAAGGGGCCACCTTACTTGCTGGGAGGTGAGAGGGAAGCGTCGTCCTATTGGGTAGGGCACACAAGTGGAGTCCCCGTGGAGCCTCCCTTATTAAATCACACGGTTACATATAGATCCCCCTCTTTACCAGGGAGCCAATTACTCTCGAGATGAAGCCCAAGAATTTGCCAATCCTAAAGGTTGTTGTTCTCATGATCAGAATGTCCTCTTTTCAAAAGCCCTTTCCTCTTGACCTCTTCCAATACCTACTGAATTAGTTGAAGACCTAAACCTCACCTAACTGGTTTCCAGCTCCTTCCTTGGCAGGTCCTGCCCAGATCTTGTAGTGTATGAGTTTGGAATGTGGAGGTGTTGGCAATACTGAGGACTCAGCTGAAATTCACATTTATGTTAATATCCGGTCACATTCACCCCAGGCCTCTCACATAACCTTCAGTCCAAAATTTCAATGTAGGATGTTTACATTGGACCCGCCCTTTGACGTCTGCTACTCAGCTTGTCACAAACCTAACTGAGTACTGTCACTCCTGAGTCTACCCCGATGATCTTATCTGCAGACCCTAACTTTCCTGTTTCTGAAGAGAAGCATGACTAATCACTCCAGGCACCCACATGGACACATCCTATACATCCTTCACAGGAGATTTCAAGCCCTGAATTCTTCCTCAAGTCTTCTCCTATGAATCCTACGTTAATTTCCCAATTATGGGTCATGGCTCTCACATATTTCAACAATAGGAATGATGCACACAAAAAATGCTGGAATTTCCAGAGACCTCAGAACTCAGAACCACCTTCAGAGAAAACTGGGATGTAAGGATTGTGGAGATAGTCGAGAGGAGCAAGAATTCCTTCGACACGGGAGAAGATAATGTCGATGATTTTCATTTGATTTATTCATTTCTCCTTTGGGCATGTCTTACCTTCCAAAGTGGAATATAAGCTGCATCGTCCATAGGCCCTAACGTATGCCTAGATACACACAAGTTAATTGAATTAATAATGCTTCTGCAAGTTGCTGAGAGAAAATATCATTTAAACGGCTCTTAAATGAAAGGTGTCAGGACAGTGCCTGAATAGTTCGCCCTCTAGAGATAATATTGCACTGATGAATCACTCACAAGGAAATACCTCTAAATATAAGAGCTGTGTTATCGGGAATAGCAGTTTGGACTAGCAGTGTGTTATGTCACAACATATATTATGAATGTTTTCTCCCAATGGGCTTTTCTTCCCTGCTGTCTTTACCCTATTCATAATATTTGTGATGAACCTTAGAATGAGCAGGTATTTGGGATCCTATTTTCTCCAGATTTGATCTCGAATCCCTGCCTCCCTAAATTTCACCAGTGCAGTAAATACTCTCATTCACATTCATAGGGAAAGCAAAGGACAGCTGTAAAAATTCCAACAATTTGAGTTTGGGTTATCTGCCATCATTATAAATGATATAAAATTATCCCTCTAACTTTGAAGTTTTGCAATTACTTTAGCAAGACAGAACCTTTTATCTGCTCACTGCCAATATCACAGTCCATGTGGGTAAACTTGTCCCAGAGATTTCAACAGTCAGGAGAGATTTTTCTGCTGGCAGAAAACACTAGAGGGAATTGAAAAACAGCAACAACAACAAAAGTCAGGGAAAGCTCTGAAAGAGAAAAAGAAGTAGGTATCGTAAGATGTGTCGATCAGGATTCCAGCAGAAAACAGATGGCTTAGTATAGTGAAGCTAGAGGAGAGCCTAGTGAAGGGGCTTCCTACAAGCTGTGGATACACGGTTTGGAAATGACAAGGGAGAGGGTTAGTAACAGTGAGGAACTTACATCCTTACCCTAAGGAGTGAACCAAAGCTGGAACCCAGAAGGAGAGCTGGGTAGAGAGCCTCCAGGGGAGGAGTTATGAGCTTAGGCTTAGGGTTGCAGCTAGTGGGAGATGCCCCTGCAGGGAGAGAGGCAGGAAAACAGATACCCTGACCTTGCTTTTCTATCATCAAGAGCTCTCCTGCTTGGATTTCCCATTGGCAGAAATGGAGCAAAAGTCAGAGAGCGAGAGATCCCACTGATGTAGTCCATATAGATCGGCCTCCCAGGCAAAAAGCTAGAGTGAAAGAAGGGTGAACTGTGGATCTGCAGAGGCAAGAAAAATATTTGGCACAGAAGAGATTTCTAAGGTACAGCAGGGACATTTTAAGTTAGGATGGTACCTTAATAAAAGGGAGAGACAGAAAAAAAAAATAAGAGGATTTATCAACGTCCACATCTCCATGAACCACAGAGTAATGGTGCCAGAGAAGCCTGATGCTTCACTAACAAAGTACTCATAGATGTGGATTGACATAAGACACATTACCGGTGGTGCTGGCACTTAACGTACGCAGGGTTTCTTATTTGAATTTTCCTAAATTGACTCTTTGAACTCTCTGAAATAGATCATTGCCTGCTTATGTCAATTTCATAACCTCTTACATTCACTAGCATTGTGTAGAAGGACAGCTGGGAGCCGGGCGTCGTGGGGAAAGTGCTGGGAAGGTATTCCATTCTGGTTAGCTCTCACTGCATAACAAACCATCCCAAAACTTAGTGGTTTAAAACATCAACAATCATTTATTTTTCTCATGAATCTGAAATTTGGGCAGGACCCCGTGGGGATGGCTCATCTTTGCTCTTTGCAGCTCCATCAGTTGGCAACTGGAGAAGGCACTTCGGTGTCACCTCGCTTGCATGACTTGCAAGCTGCTTCTGGCTGGCAGCTGAAATGTCAGCCAGGGGAGTGGGCCAGTGATTTCAAGTCCTCTTCATGTGGGTGACTTGGGCTTCCTCACAAAATGGCGGCCAAATTCCAAGGGCAAGCGCCCCGAGCCAGCAAGGAGCCATTTTCCCTTTCTAAACCTTGGAAGTCACATGGTGTTGCTTCAGCCACCCAGAATTTATCGAAGCAGTCACAAAGTCCATCCAATTTCAAGGCAGGGGACATAGACCCATAACTCAATGGAAAGAGTAACAAGGTCAGATTGCAAGAAGACGTCAGAAAGAAGATATGGTTTTAGTTTATGGGTTTAGTCCTCTTTGGAAAATGCAAGCTGCCATATTAACAAGTTATAGTAAATTGAAAAGTAAAAATAAAATTGACCCTACTTCCAAAACATTTGCCATATTTTGGAAAGCAAATTTTTAATCTCCTGGAAAACAACTTGAAATAAATTCTCCTTGGCTTCTTCCCTTATATTTTTCATTCGTTCATCATGCTTCTTCATTAGCGATTTTATTGCTTCCTCCTTTTCTTCCTGTGGTCTATGGGCATATTCCTTTTCTACTAGTTTAATTTCCTTTGCTAATTGATCAGCGTAGATTTTCTTCAAGACTTCCTCCTTCTTTCTCAGCTTTTCTTCTGTGCCCTTGTATATGGCGTCGGAAAAGTAAGCCCCCTGGTTGTTCTGCACCATCTTATCTATCATCTCCACCAGCTCCCGCACCTGAGCTTCCTTCTCAGCCCGGTCTGTACTCCTGTTACTGAAGGTACAGCAGCGGTCTCCACACTCCTCGAGGATGCTTCGCAGCTTTACGTCCGCACCCCCCACAAAGTCGCTTAGGCTGCGGTCCTCCAGTTCCTCTTTGCGAGTGAACAAGATGATCATGTGCTTCATGGCTGGTTCCCCAAACACAGCCTTGATCAACGCCATGGTTTCCTGCTCTTCAGGCGTGTAGCGGCCCAGCTGCATGACCAAGATGATGGCATGAGGTCCGGGGCAGGAGGCGAGGACACAGAGGCTGATTTCCTTGCAGGTGCTGTTCAGGCTCTCCTCGGTGTCGAAGAGCCCTGGGGTGTCAACAACGAGAAGGTCTCTCCCCTCCCATGTCCGGGATGCTTTCTGACAAGTTTTGGTAACAGCCTGGGCAGCAAGCCTAGAGGTGAATACGTTTCGCCCGAGGATGGTGTTTCCTGTGGCACTTTTCCCACTTCCAGTCTTCCCGACCAGCACGATCCTCAGAGCATTGTCCTGGGCATCAGCCATGTTTATATCAAGAGGCCCTGGGGCTGAGGTACCCACAAGATCTTAAGAAAAGGAAGGAGATGGAAAAAGGGTCAATTGGGGCAAGTGGGAACCATTCCCAACTCTCTTTTTTTTCTTTCTTTTCCTCCCTGAATATGTGTAATATTCTGTTATGCATAAACAGCTCAATTGCTGTGGAAGAAATAACAAAGTACTTAAAGAGTATCCCCACAAAACAGTCATGTCCAGATGGTTTCACGTGGAATTAATCGAAACTTTAAAGATCTGATAATCTCAGTGCTACTTAAACAATTCCTGATCACATAAAAAGGAAGGAAAACGTTCAGCTCTTTCTATGAAGCAAGTGTAATGTTGATCCTAAAAGCTAACCACGATTTCACCAACAAATAAAGCGATACACGTCTCATGTGTGAGTATTGATTCAAAAATCCTAAATAAATTATTAGACACTAAAAAGCAATACACGTTGATTAAGCATTACTGTTTCAGAAATACTAGGGTGGTTCAAAATGAGGAAATTGATTGTTGCAACACATCCCATTAATAGGTTAAGAAGAAAAGGAACTAGGTGCAGAAAAGACATTTGGCCAAATTCAACACTGATTCATGTTCTTTTTTTTAATAAATTTATTTATGTATTTATTTATTTTGGGCTGCATTGGGTCTTTGTTGCTGCACACGGGCATTCTCTAGCTGCAGTGACCTGGGGCTATTCTTCATTGCCGTGTGCAGGCTTCTCATTGCAGTGGCTTCTCTTGTTGCAGAGCATGGGCTCTAGGCACGCAGGCTTCAGTACTAGTGGCTCACGGGCTCTAGAGCGCAGGCTCAGTAGTTGTGGTACACGGGCTTAGTTGCTCCACGGCATGTGGGATCTTCCCAGACCAGGGCTTGAACCTGTGTTCCCTGCATAGGCAGGCGGATTCTTAACCACTGAGTCACCAGGGAAGCCCAACACTGATTTTAACCATAAAATTTAAATGAATAGATATTTCTTTAACATGATTTTACATAAATATAAAATTTTTTTCATCGTTTTTTTTTTCATGCAACTAAAATAGTTGATTATAAAGTTCATTTGGATGAAGACAGAAGAAAATTAGCCTTGGAAATCAAGAAAAGAAAAATGAGGGAAGACTAGCTCTACCAGATAGTAGAACATTATAGTTTCTATAATTAAAGCAGTATGATGTTGGTGCATGAATAGAGAGAACAGTGAAACAAAAACAGAAAATTCAGGAGTACACCAAACTGATCACACTATATTCATTTATATTCAATGCAGTTATATTATATTACATTTATATTCAATAAGGCAGCATCTCACATTAATGGGAAAAAAGATGGACTAATAAGCAACACTGAGATAACAATACAGAAAAAGATAAAACTGCATCCATCTCCTGACGCCATTCAAATTCCAAATAGATCAGAAATTTAAATGTAAAAAAAAATCCATATGATAATAGAAGAAACATGGATAAATCATTGTAACCTGGGGGTGGGAAAATATTTCTGAGATTTGAAATAGAGTAAGGAAAAAGACTCCTACATTTGATTTTACATAAAAATCAGAAAGATAACATGAGGCCAACAAACAAGTAAATAATCCCCCATACACAAATTAAAACACAAATGGCAAACTAGGGGAAAATTCTTTTTTCCAACTTATGTAAAAGAGAGGCAAGGGGCAATTTTCCTTTTACACCAAGAATATCTATGCAGATGGCCAACAACCACATGAAAAGATGCTCAGCATCACTAATTATTGAAGAAATGCAAATCAAAACTACAATGATGTATCACCTCACAGCAGTCAGAATGGCCATGATCAAAAAGTCTGCAAATAATAAATGCTGGAGGGCTTCCCTGGTGGCACAGTGGTTGAGAGTCTGCCTGCCAATGCATGGGACACGGGTTCGTGCCCCGGTCCGGGAAGATCCCACATGCCGCGGAGCGGCTGGGCCCGTGAGCCATGGCCGCTGAGCCTGCGCGTCCAGAGCCTGTGCTCCTCAACGGGAGAGGCCACAACAGTGAGACGCCCGCGTACTGCAAAAAATATAATAAAATTGGGCTTCCCTGGTGGCGCAGTGGTTGAGAGTCCGCCTGCCAGTGCAGGGGATGCGGGTTCGTGCCCCGGTCTGGGGGGAGCCCACACGCCGCGGAGCAGCTGGGCCTGTGGGCCATGGCCGCTGAGCCTGCACATCTGGAGCCTGTTCTCCGCAACGGGAGAGGCCACAACAGTGAGAGGCCCGCGTACCGGGGAAGAAAAAAATAATAATAATAAAATAAAATAAAATAAATAAATAAATAAATGCTGGAGAAAATGTGGAGAGAAGGGAACCTTCCTACACTGCTGGTAGGAATGTAATTTGGTGCAGCCACTATGGAGAACAGTATGGAAGATCCACAAAAAACTGAAAATATTGTTACCATATGATCTAGCAATCCCACTCCTGGGCATATATCTGGACAAAACTCTAATTTGAAAAGATACACGCACCCCTATGTTCTTAGCAGCACCATTTACAATAGTCAAGACATGGAAACAACCTAAAAGTCCATTGACAAATGAATGGATAAAGAAGATGTGGTACATATATACAATGGAATATTACTCAGCCATCAATAAAATGAAATAATGCCACTTGCAGCTACGTGGATGGGCCTAGAGATTATCATATTGAGAGAAGTAAGTCAGACAAAGAAAGACAAATATTATATGATATCACTTACATGTGGAATCTAAAAAAAATACAAATAAACTTATTTACAAAACAGAAACAGACTCCCAGACATAGAAAACAAACTTCTGGTTACCAAAGGGGAAAGTGGCGGAAGAGGGAAAAATTAGGAGTTTTTAGGGATTTATGGATACATATACCACTATATATAAAACACAAAAGCAACAGGGATTCACCGTATAGCACAGGGAACTATATTCAATACCTTGTAATAACCTATAATGCAAAAGAATCAGAAAATATATATATAAACTGAATTACTTTGCTGTACACCTAAAACTAACACAGTATTATAAATCAACTATACTTGAATTACAAAATTTAAAAAAAAACAAAGAATATCTAAAAGTAGAGAAACAAAAGACCAGCAGCTCGATAAAAAATGGAGAAAGGGATATAAATAAACAGTTCAAAGAAAAAAATGTAAATATCCCTTGAATATATAAAAAGAGACTAACCTTCACTTGTAATAGAGAAAAATATATCAAAACATAGAAAAATTAAATTAATTATTTAATATTACACTAAGATACCATTTCTCACCTACAGGTTTGGGAAAGATCCAAAAGTTTGCTGCCATAATATATTGGTAAAAGGTATAGAAGAAACAGGTGCTCTCCCACATGGCTAGTGCGAATGGAAGAGCAGTCTAAAACATCTAGAGGAGAAGTTAGCAATATCTTGCAAAAGTACATGTGCACTTACCCTTTGATTATCAACCTCAATTTTGGGATTTATCCCAAAGGTACACTGACAAAAATACAGAAAAAAATTCTGCAGAAGGCTGTTTACTGCACCACTATTTGAAATAGCAAAAGACCAAAAACCTATCAAACGCCCATCAGTACGGGCCTGGTTGAATAAACTAAGGTATATTCACACAGTGCAGTACTAGCCAACTAAAACAGAATGAGATATATCTTTATGTCCAGGTATGGAGACATCTCCAGGATATATCATTAAGCAAAAAGAGCCAGGTGGTGAAAACAATGTACAGTTTACTATCATTTCTCTAACAAGGAGGACCGGGGCCTACATATATAAAATGTAATATATATATTTTTTCAATCATACGTAAAAGCAATGGCAGGATAATCTGAAAAGTAAGCAGACAAAAAAGTTACTTAAATGGGGATGGAATAAACAGGGTGGAGGGAAGCTGGGGATAGAAGCTGGGAACTAGACTACTTTGGATATACTTAGATTTCATAGATTTGATCTTGAAAGCATGTATTATACAGCAAAAATTATATTTCAAAATACTAGTAAAAATCCAAAGCAAATGAAACAAACTAGCCAGATCGTATCTTGTGTGGTGGATGAACCACAAAAAAATTGGTCCCAGAGACTTGACAAGGCAGTAGTTTCTTTGTCCATCCCCAGTAGGATATAGTTAAGCAATCCCCGCCCCAAAAAAACCTGCAAAAAATTGTTTTCGGGAATCCTATTCTTAGTTGTGTGTATGTGCGTGTGTGTGTTTGTATAGTTTAGAAATCCATTGAAAAGGCATAAAAACAATGATGAGCCCAGCAACAATGAGCACCCTTAGTGCCAGATTGTAATCTTCAAATGCCATTTCCTACCAAAAATGTAGGGCTCTTAGGAGAAAGTATGGATTCCAGGTCTGGGGCAGGCAACGTAAGAGTTGAGCATAGAACATCTTGTCATACTAGACAGCAAGGATGCTATGAAAAAAGTTACTAGGATCCCATCAAAAGGACTTAAGAGCCAACTTGAAGATGATCCCCAACGGGACAAAGATGAGACAGTTTTAGCATCAATAAGAATAATGACTACAAGGGATTGAAATATATCAAATAAGTTAAAATCTATGTGTTCATAGCAATGCCATCTTCTTAGAAGAAGTCAGTTGTTCCCTTTGGAGTATGCTAGGAGTATGTCATTCTGAACATTGACAAAGGGAAAGAACAAAGCATTTATCTTGTCTTTCTTATATAAATGTGCCTTGTGGAAATGAAAGAATTGTTGAGGGGAAGTTTCTTTTTATAGGTTTATTCCACCTATTAAATGAAGAAAGAATGATAGAATTAGAATATCATAATTTGTGGCCCTTAAGGAAACATATACTCAAGGTAATCATTAATATCTGAGACACCCAAACATTATGTGCCTCTAATTGACGTTAACAACTGCACCTGTGATGTACTCCCACCATAACACCAGCCAAACTTTAATCTGATCAAGCTTCTCCCTAAACAGAATGCACACAAAACACTGGAACTAGAAGAGCACGACAAG